TCAGACTATTCTCTAGGCAGTGTATCTCCTGATATGCCGTTACAAAGGCAGACGGGGACAGTTTCAGATCTTAGATGGCAGCCTTCTTCAAACAACACTACCCCTAAAACTATTACCCTCAGAATGAATCCTTACTGGAATGGAGTGTTTTATACACGAGAAAAAATTCTAGCAGTAACTGAACAGCCAGCCCTGGTTACCCACAACTGAATGTCCTGCAGCCATAGCTCATTGTAACCACTACTACAATTTTTGCGTAATTTAGACGACAATTTACTCATTGCACTCTGTATGTGCTTCTGCACTTATCCATAGTACCACTTTCATTTTTACTATCATCCTTTTTTTGAAAGAACTGTAATGTTCGACTGAATATCTGAGATGACTGAATTTCCCTCAGCTAGCTTTCATAATTGAAGTGACTTCAATATTCATCACAATGAGTGGTTAGTCCATTTGAACAAAACTGATTAAGATTGCAGAGACTTCTCTAATGTAGATCATTGAAGAACCCAATCACATTTCTGATAAGACAGGCAAACTTCTTCGATTTCTTCTTCACATCTTGCTCCAAAAAATGCTTTGCTGAAGTTTTATTCCCTCCCTGATCACTTCAAACCATTCACTAGTCAGTGTCAAAGTTGGTGACAAACCAGACATTTTCTGATATGATGTTCTATAGAACAATTGGGACATCTTCAGATCTTAAATGGCAAAAGTTCCTCACTCGGATTTCTTCAAACATACTGCCTACAAAACTGCTGCCCTAGTCTCAGAATGGATCCTTTCTGGAATAGAGAGTTTTATACCCCAGAAAAATTTAAAAAAAAAGAGCCAGGCTTCTTTCAACCAGGGTTGAACCAAGGCTGGTTATTTGCCTTCAGGTATGGTTCACCCTAACCATTACTACAGTATCAATCACAGGGAGCAGTAAAGTTGGACACTTGTTGCATTCAGAACTGCCCGCAATCTCTGCAAGACATTTCTAGAAAATAAGAAGTGTAGCTATGCACAAGCGGTTCAGGCCAAAGTTGAAAAATAAATTGAATAATAGAAGGTCTGGAAGATCTCCAACCAAATTCTGAATAGAGGCAAAGCGTCTGTTTCCACTATTATAAATGTCTTTGAGGTCATCTCATCTTCGTCAGATAAGGTGAAAACTTTTCGCCTCGATCTTTGGCTCTAACTCAACATACGTTATCTCTTTGCTGTCTTCCCCCGTTTCACTGAGCACAATCTCCCTAGACACTAAGAAAGTCACTAGCTCACCCAAAATCCCAATGGTTGTCCTTAAGAATATGAACCCCGAATTATGCATACCTTATCGAAATTATTTAACTACTATTGAAGGAGAAATTCTTCCCAAGTTTGTGGAAAGTGTCAACAGTATGTTCGATTTTCAAGAATATGGCCAATATCTGATCATCTAGAGCTTTTCATCTTCCTCCATCTCCGTCTTACTATAGACCCATCAGTCTTTTCAGTGTTATTTGTAAGATTTTTGAGGTTATAATCAACAAGAAGATTGCTGATTATCTAAATAAGAATAATCTCTTAAGCGACAAGAAGTACGGGTTTCGATTAGCCCGATCCATTGCTGATGTCCTCACTGCAATTACTCACAGAATCAGTGAGGCACTAGACAGCAAATACATCTCGAGGACAAGAGCAATAGATATTTAAAAGGCCTTTGGCGAGGTGTATTATAAAGGATTACTGTAAAAGCTCTCTAGCTATGGAATCACTGGAAGAATCTATTCAACCATAAAGTCCTTCCTAACGACTAGGTCTCTAGTTGTTGTTAATGGCCAATCCTCTGAGGCCCTTAGAAATCAACACAGACATCATCCAGGACTCGATTATCGGACCAACCTTCTTGTAACTTTACATAAATGATCAACCTAAGATATACACTAATCATTTGTGAATATGTTGTTGATACAACGGTATATGGGGTTACATCCAAAGCTCTAGATGATCAGATATTGGCAACCGGTCTCTCCACTAATGTAGCTCTAACATGCCTCGAAAACCATCATCGCAGATCAAACCCTGAACAAACACCAATCACGATGAGTGGATATTCCCTTTGGAAGGACCCTGCTTTGAGCACCTATTTAGATCTTAAACTCAACATAGATTTTAAGTGGAACTCGTGCTTGCAATCCATCGTTAAAGATGCTCATAAAATGGTCGGTTCCATGTATATAATTCTTTCTGCTATCTTCTACCATTACAAGAGCCAGATCAGGCCTACAGCGGAGTATTGTTGTCATATATGGGCAGGAGATGCACAATCTTCAGTCTCGATAGAGTTCAAAAGCGTCTCTGCGTCCTTGTGGGTGACAAATTACTTATTATCCCCCACCCCAAGACTAAACATTGCGAGCCTCTCGTTGCTCTATTGTTATTTCTATGGAAAGTAATCAGACGAACTACATTCCTTAGTTACACTAGTTCTAACCTTCTCATTTAAGACACTATTCCATTATTGAGCAGTTTCTTCCCATAAACCACTGATTTATGAAACTGACTCCCAAAATGATCCTTCCCCAATTACTACAATCTGAACCTGTTCAAATCTATGGTTAACCATTATCTTCCCCCACATACCCGCATAAACTGTGCCTCTTACTCCGTAACTCTCTACCTCGATTTTACAGTTTGGTCAAAAAACCGAAGCAAGTCACCCTATTCAGACCCTATTTTCTTCTGCCCACTGTCTGACAATTTACAGATAAGTCATTGTAAAGCGGCCAAATGAAGCAATCGGTTGAACAAAGTCTTCGTTGGAAGCAACAATGAAAATGAGGATAGTTCAAAATATTACATTGAACAACAACTCGTCTCAATTTTTTCAAACGACATTGAAGATGAGGATTGTCTAAAACAGCGATTGAATACAAACAGAAAGACAGAGGAAAGGAAAACATCAAAGAGGATGAGTATAATCCAAAACATCCATTGAGTATTAAGAAGAGACCATCTCAAAATCTCAAATGAAAACATTGATTAAATATGAACAAGCAATCATCTCAATATTTCGAGTATTGAATATTAAAAGAAAAATTATCTCAGAAAAATAATGAAGATAACAATTGTAAAATACATCCATTGGATATAAATAATTCATTTCAAGATCAAATATTAAGTCAACAGAAGAAAATTAAGATTAAACAATATATATATATATATATATATATATATATATATATATATATATATATATATATAATTTAAAAATATGATTCCAACGCTACATAAGAGTTCTCATGTTTCAAAACAAGAGCCGAAAACTTCAATATAATTATTTGAATTAAATTGAATTAAAGTACTAAGCTCTATTCCATCTTCAAGCGATTTTTTTTTTTTGGAATAACTTATTTCTGAAATTTACGCGTTTTATAAGCATATTCATTTTTGAAATTATGATTACTATGGTAACAGCTAAAGCAATTGTTTAAAGAAAAAGGGCGTAAGGGTTAATAATTTGTATCAATATCTCAGTTACATTCACTGACGTCAAGTCAGGTTAAGGTTGGGGTGTCTAAATTTGAAGCGGAAGAAGACATCGGCTAGTCTGGTTAAGTGTCTATGGAGATTTATTAATTTTTTTATTTTATTTTTTATTTCTGAAAGGGGTTTGTGTATATAAAAAACTGTCGTAAGTCGCTAATATTTGTTTTTTTGACGACTTCATAAAGGGTTATGTATTTTTTATTTTTTTTTTTGACGAGATCTATGTATTTTAATCATTTCATCCCAAACAAGGTGATAAGATGCAAGGGGGTTACTAGGAGTGGAAAAGAATAGGAAAACTTTAGTAAGTTGAAAGGACAATAAAAGAATATGTTTCAGGAAGACAGAAGATGGCAACTGGCATTGAATTAAAATTTTTGAAGATTGTAGATGTCAGGGAAGCAAGAAATCAGAAGGGAGTTCCACAGGTGACAAATACGAGAAAAATCTATTAGAATAGAACATACGTTTGCATTTTGCTAGCTCAACAGTAACATGGCGAGACCTAGTTGCCAATCGAATAATACGCTTAAATGTATGCCATCGAGGCACGAAGGAGGAAAGCTATAGCATCGTCCATAAATAAGTATAATCCTATTGATTTTTTTTTTTAATGAAAAGTTAAATTCCTTCTGAACCAAACATACCAGGCTTTATTAATATTTTTTAATCATTTCACCCCAAGCAAGGCGATAATACCACTAGAACGCAAGAGGATACTGGGAGTGAAAGAGAAAGAGAAGACTTTAGTGAGGGGAGTGAGGAGAAAGGACAATAGACGAACAGATTTCAGAAAGACAGAAAATGGCGATTGGCATTGCATTTAAATCTTTGAAGCTTGTGGGTGACAGCGAAGCAGGAAATCGGCAGGGAGTTCCACAGTCGAGAAGTGCGAGAAAAAACTATTAGAATAGAACATACGTTTGTATCTAGCAAGTTCAACAGTAAAACAGTGAGACCTAATTCAGTCTCATTGGAAAACAATACGGTGAGAACAGCATGAAACATTGGCTGAATATTTATCATGTCTCATATCAAATTTTCAGCATAAACAAAAATGAGTCTGCGTATAAACTAAAACACGTATTTAACAAATCTGTATGATGGATAACGATATTGAAATTGAAATCGGAGAGTCGAGTTCGAATTCCAGTCGAGTAAATTACATCCACATACGCGTAAATACCCTTGCGAAAGGTATGGATTCATCTCACCACTTCCCAGCTCTGGGTTAAATTACTGGGACAGACTGGGTCCTAAATTCTTGGTTTGCATCCAGTCTACCGTAGAAAGTAATGGGGGACTACTGTGGGAATTCTTTTGTCAAGTGTTGAATCGAAACATGATTGCCCAAGCGTTTATCACGCAAGATACCTAAGGAAGGAAGGAAGGAAGAAAGGAAGGAAGTGTGTACCATACGAAAATGTCAATAAGCAAGCGGATTGTGCTAAATCTCCACTGAATATTCATAACTCGTCACAATGTATCTATCGAAAGTATCACTTATGATAAGGATATTCCAAATCCTTCATTGTTTATTAACAACCCATCCCAAGCTCTCAGTAAAAAAAGAAATATGAGAAATGTGGTTTTTACAAAAGCTCCATTAAATGTTAACATAAAATCGGGGAGAGATATACAACAACAAAAATGGCGATACCTCTAAACAACCACTTAACAGTAACAAAAATTAATCTTAAACTCCCAGAATGAAGAATTAATAAAGGTGAGGACAGTTGAACATATCAGCTGAATTCATTGCGATGTCTAAATCAAAAACAACAATGATCATATTAGTTCGATGTTTTCTTTGAATATTAACAACAATTCATCTCAAAGTATCATGCAAAAACAATAATGAAAAAAAGGATAGTCTAGAACAGTGTTTCCGAAACGGTGCACCTCGCCTCATAGATATGGTGAAAGCAAGTGAGACGGAATGATTGAAAAACAATCAAAGATTTAGTAACAGTTTCAAAAATTCATATGCCAAAAATAAATATGATTTCAAAATTTAAAATATTATTATGGATTACTTGTAATTGCATGCTTGAGTATAAATAGTTAGAAATAATTATTGGTTGATTTTATCATTGTGATATTTTTGCATTATATCAAGTATCAAGAACTAACTAGGGTCCGTAAATTGGAAGAGAGAGTTATCAATGATAATGTTCTGACTTCAAATTCGTGGTTATCGCTCTTTAACTCTCTGTCTCTATTTTGTATGTAATGTTGTAAATGTATTTTTTATCACATAGAATTTGGCGAGGCGCGCACAAATTTTAATTCCGAAGATGCGACTCAGAGAAAAGTTTGGAAATAACTGCTCTAGAAGATCTATTGAATCTTAAGCACTACACAAATCAGTGTGTCAAAGAAAAATAACAATTATGATGATGATAATATTCGTATAAATAATACAGTAAATATTAACACCTCATCTCAAAGGCTCAAATAAATCAACAATGAATTTAATGGATGTTAACAATTCATATCAAAGTTTCAAACAAAATCAACAAAAATAATGAAAATGTGTGTAGCCCAAAATACACATAGGATAATAAATAACTCTTCTCACATGACGAACACATGTACAATGAAAATTATGATAGTTTAAAACTCATTAATTCACTGAATAGGAACAAGTAATCGTTTCAGCCGAAAATAACAATGAAAATGTTGATAATCTAACGTATCCATTAAATATACTTCCTCTCAACGCTTTAAATATGATGTGAATGAAAACGATTATAATGTAAAACATGGAAAGACAAAGTTGAGTAATGACGACCGCTTGTAACCGAGTAGGCCTGTGCTAGGGCGGTTACCCAATCCCTACTGAAGACGCCTGCTCAGGCACTTTTGTGTTTGTTCAACGCCCACAGAGCCTACCTGCAGTTTATACTTCATAATTCCTGAGCGGACCACTTTCTGGTAGCGAACGAATTATCTGTCGTAATTGACAGTCTGAGCAAGGCCATTGCGCTCACACCCTCGTGCTAGATCAACCATCGACCATTTCGTATACCCAATTTCCCTCACAAGACTTGAGTCAAAACCGTGGTATGGTTTTTGAGGCACTTTCCAAATGTGCCGCACGTTGGGATCGCCTCTACAGGCCGATTACAAGACCTGACAAATCGACCATGATGAGATTCGAACGTTCTAACCACGCGGACATTTGCGAATGTGAGTATAGTGACAAATTTTAACATTTCTACTCTAATTCTGAGACAAAAAACAACAATGAAAATGAATTTATTTTAAAATACCCACTGAGATTCTCAGATAAAAAACAATAGATGAGTATATATCTGCTAGAGATAAATATTTTTTGTTCATCATCACTGGGCCTTTTTCAGAGGGAAGAAAGTATTTACTACACGCAAGCGTAATACGCATACTTTTATTTGAAGTGTTCAAAATCAAAGAGTCGTTTATTTTTCCGTATTTTTTTTTTTTATCATTCGCATTTGAGTCTGTAAAGTACAAATGTTTTATTAATCTGCGGAATTAATTTTTCTTGACGACTACTTTTAATTTGGAATTTTTAAAATGTGGAATTATATTATTATACTCTTTGATAGTCATACTAGTATTCTCATCTTATTTGTGATACTCAAAGTATTTGACCATAAGAGAAGATACACGTAACTTAATAGATTAAAGCGTTGATTTAAACATATCCGATTTATCGGTTGTTTTGTGTTAATTCCTTGGTTCTGGTAGTGCTGAAAAGTCACATTTTCTTTTTCAGTGTAATGTTGCGTCCTGTGTCGTCTCGGGATCCTCACGCTATTAATAAAAAATGATATCAACGAAAAAGTCATTTACTTTTGGTATTCGTTTTATTAACCCTGACAGCTTGGATTCTAAGAAATAGTAGTAAGACTGACGTGACAAGAAAGCATGTCACACGTTGGCTCAGCGTCCCTCTGCAGGTGGTATTAGCCGGTCGTAAACCTTGGTGTGGGAGGCATATCGACGCGTCAGAATTCTCGAGACCCTCTGTTGGATTCACACTGTTTTGGACTTATTTTCAAAACCCAGACAAAGGCAATTCATCGCTGTCAGAATGCTCCGCCTACGAGTTACTCTGGCCAATAACTGACCGTTTTGACCCTGGTCTTCGCATTCTGTAAGATTAATGAACGAACAAGAGACACAAAATGGTTAAGCGATCCGAAATATCTTTTCAGCATGGAAAGCAAAGTGAGAACAATCAAAACGTTGTGGGTATAACACCCAAGCTGCACACGTTGATGCGAACAGGAAAGCATTTAATATTTACGACTTCTGTTTGGAACTAATTTGTCTTGATAGTACTTGCAGTAACCAAAGAATTACAGAATGATTTCACTTCCAGTTTTTTTCTCTATATTTCTCAAGAAGAAACCATTTTTCGCCTTTTCGCTTTCCAGTTATGTATATCATTGCATGCCATCATAAAATATTAATTGTATCCGGGGCAAGAGATTAATCAGAATTGACTCCTTCAAACATTTTGTTTATTTAACTTTTTTTTAACTAAATTTCAACCGATGAAAGGCTGGAAAGTCATTCAAGATTACAGTCAAAATGGTAATGGCGAATGAGGTGTGTGGTATGCAAGGAAGAGAATGTGATAGGGAATGGAGATTATGAGAGTGAGGGGGGGGATAGATAACGGTCGATGCTTGATTTGAAAAGATCAAGATTGAAACAACCACGTGGGTATCTATTCCACAAAGTTGCAGTTCTTGGTAAAAAAATGTATTCTGAATGGAATTTCCTTTTATATTTGAAAAATGAGGATGATTTCATTCCTTGGAAGAATCATAGTGTGTCATTGCGTCGAGAGTTTGAACAGCTAGAACTAAAAATGGAGTACATGCCACATACTGAATCTGTCATATAATGTCATGAAGTCAGTATTTTTTGTTAGTTTATCATTCATACTGACAGACATATAAAAGCTTGTATGTTATGAATTGTTATTAAAGACAACAAACAAAAATTATGAAAGTGCCACACGTGAGAGCCATAAAATCAAAAATGTATCTGTTAAAGAATATGACATAATAAGCTGATATTAGGGTGAAAAAAAAGTTCTGGTGCATTTACATATGGAAAAGAAAAATAAGATCATCAACAGCAAACTTTCCCCTGGCTTTTACAAAATATCACCATTTCTGGCAGACGTCTATTATCACAGTGTAGGATATCTAATGGAATCTAGCAAGACTTCGGCTCACAAAGATGTTGCCAAGCTGATGGTTCTTATTCTGATCGAAAAAAAAAATGAACGTCCCAGAAAAAAAAACCCTAGAGATGGTAATATCCTGAAATCCACCATTTCATGATCTCCGACAAGTTTATAAAAAATCAGCTGCTCTGTTTCTTTTGAGTACAGATTTGAGTCGTTTGACCATTTATCGCAAATTGGTCAAAGCATTTCAACTAAGATCCTATAAACCTGTCTGAAAACCAAATATTGACTGTCGAAACGAAAAAGAA